AGGAAGGAAGGAAGGAAGGAAGGAAGGAAGGAAGGAAGGAAGGAAGGAAGGAAGGAAGGGGAGTAACAGTTCTGACTGTGCGTTTTCCTGCCCTCCCTGTGCCTCTGAGATCCAGGGAGCAGACCCCTGGGTGACTGCTCGGAGGCTCAGAGCCCTGGTCCATCTTCCAAGACCCCTGAGACCCCCTCTCTGTCCTTCCAGCCGAGTCCCGGAGCCCCTGCCGTCTGCCATGCACTCACGTCCATGTAGTTCTCAAGGGGCTGGGTGGCCAGCGTGTCGGCAGCCTCCTTGAAGTACTTGCTGGCTGGGTTGAGGCTGTGTGTCTTCAGGTAGTCTTCCAGCAGGCCATGCTCGATCAGGTTCTGCCTCAAGGACTTCTTCCTGACGAGGGGGACCCTGTGGCGAGGGGTGAAAGGGGTGGTTTGGAAGAGGGAGAGTAATCAGCAAGGAGTCTGCCGGTGGGGGGCTGTGGGAGCAGAAGGGAAAGAAAGCTGGCCCAAGAGTAGACAAAGGAGGGAAGTCAGGAGGGGAGACGCTCTTATTTTGGGGACAGTAGTACAAAGAGGTTCAGTGGTTGTCCGAAGTCGCCTGCCCAGTGATGAGGCTGCCAACCAACCCCAGGCTGGCCTTGAGGAAGCCACAGGCAGGCGATACCTGGGCGTCCTGCCTGGGCTGGTCTTACACGAAGTGCTTGGGGCTTGGGAGTGTTCTGAGGTTTCTAACGAAATTCCCCCATTAGCGCTTCATTCCTTCGCGTCTAGAAATTCTCATTTGTAAAAAGGAAGTCCTCCCGAGGGAGTTAAGCTGGGCTCTCTGTCCTGGACTCTTTAACTTAAATGAATATAATTGTTACTTTCCTCTGAACATTTAACCACAGCTACAGCGCCGGCTTCCCAAAAGGGCAGAGAGAGAGACGAGAAACGGTCAAGAGAGGAGTTGCGTAAGGAGGAGGGAAGACCTGGGAGGGCAGAGGGGCAGTGCCACGGGCAGCAAGGGGAAACCGCCCCGTGCAGGCTGTCCTGGGCGCGGCGTGTCCCCGGACTCACTTGTAGATGAGGCACTCAGACAGTGCCACCAGGCCGAGCAGCAGCAGCCACTTCATGCTTCCTCCTGGCTCCCAAGTCTCCGGAGAAGGGAAGATGGGTGGAAAGCGTGCCACGGCCGGCAGGAGCAGCTCCTTATATGCAGCCCCACTGCTCAGGAACCCATCTTATCAGCCCTCAAATGTTACCCATTACCCTAACCCAAACGGAAAGTTTCCTGATAAGATTGTCCCTGCCGCTGAGCCATGCGCTGAGAAGTTTCCAGGAGGGTAGCTTTCTATCGTAACCACACCCCGCGGTCGGGTCGGAATGGACCTGTTCAGAGCAAGCGACGGACTGGAGGCTTATTCCTTAAATAATGAAATGCATGAAAACTAGACAAGCTGAGTCTTTTGACAAAATTGGTCTAAAGTGCACTTAGCGTTTAACAGATGCCCCAAGAGCTTGGTATACCCTGATTTGTCCCAGTGGGACAGGTGGCTGGGGTTCTTGGAGAGCAGCTCCCCACTTAGTGACGGGCAGTGTTGCTGTAGCTGAGACCCCAAAGCACATTCGTAGGCCAGTGGTTTGGGACTCAAGACATTTCCCTACAGAAATGCCATTATATGGAGTTGTTGAGTGTCTTGCTTCTTGGCTGGGGGAGAGGAGAGAATGGACGTTGCCTCCCTGGAAACAGGCTGGTGTGTCTTTGGAATCTCTGCCCCTCACCTTCTGCACCCCTTCTCTTCCTCCTGCTCCTCTCACACCCTCTCAGGTTGCTTGAGGTCCCCACCTTTGAGATCCCACTGGATCTGACTCGCCCACATTTTCCATGCTTAAAACTTGACTGAATCGGCTGCAAGGGAGCAAAGCCGTCTGGGAAAATTTATACGAGTGTGTGAATGACTTAGAAAGTCATTTCTTCTTAAAAGAAAGTCTCTTCTTAAAAATGGATGCTTACCAGCCCAATGGATTCTCTCCGGGGTTTATTTAGTGGAAAAAGTGGGGTGAAAAACTTGATTCAGGAATTGTGGGGATGGGGAGTGTAGGGGAAGGAAGTCACCAGTAGGTAGTGAGCCCTATCTGCTGGTCTTCATTTCAAATAAACTGTCATAATACCATCGAAGGAGATGAAGGCAAGGACAACCCACTCATCACCCCTGCTTCCACTTTGGTCGTGTGGAACCGTGAGTAAATCTGCCCACGGCCTGCTTTCCTTGCCACATCGAAAGGTGGGAGTGACAAGATGGCAGGCTGAGAAGACACCAAGAAGCCGAGAGAGGACTGAGAAAAGCCTCAGACCTGCTGGGCATTGGACCCTCCAGACAGGCTCATGTCACCCTGGGGGTGGGGGGCGGGCTGGTGGCTGGAGTCCATCCAGGCTCCCTGTGCCTCCTGGAGCTGGCTTGTAGGGCCAGGGATGGGCATCGATTTTGGGGGCACAGCCTATCTGTGGGACCCACATGGGGGTTTTGGACAGAGACAAAGCATGTTTGGGAAGCAGGAGGAATGCTCCTCAGGTGGTAACCTGCAGGCTGCATTCACAGGTTCATTCAACACGTTTCTACTATGTACCTGCTTCGTGCCGGCCAGGCATATTCCAGTTACCGGGGGCACATCCACGATCCGGATGGAAGCAGGCCATGCCTTCGAGGAGCTCGCGGTTGGCTCCAGAGAGGGCAAGGGGGTGACCTCATTCCTTTCCACTTGGATGGGTCTTGGGGTCCCACTAATGAGAAGTTCTTGGATTGGTGAAGAGAGTTGTCTTCCCACATTAGAGATTTTAACACCCCAGGGGAGGCCGACATGCTTGGTGGCCCCAATTCTGGGCTTACGGCAGACTCCACGCTGGTCCCCAATCCTCCTAGCCTCTGGTGGCTGTGCTCCTTTTAATTCCCCCCCTTGAGCATGTGCAGGGCCTGTGATGTGCTGCTAACCAGTAGGATGTGGCAAAGCAGACAGGATGTCACTTTTGCGATTACATTAATGAGGTGGTGATTTCTGTCCTTGCATAGGCTGTCTCAGCACGTGAGCCTCCGATGAGACCACAGCCTGGCCGACACCTTGCTGCAGCCTGCGAGAGGCCCTGCAGCAGAGGACCCAGCCCAGTGGAGCCTGGCTCCCCGACCCACAGAAACTGAGATGATGAACGTGAGTGTGTTAAGTTGCTAAATTTATGTTAGTTCATCATCAGCAATAGAAAACAAATACAGGGTTAGAGACGTCCTAGAAAACTCCACAAGGACCCACCTGGCTGCCTCCAGTTTTCTGCCCGGGCAATGTCAGCGGTTGGAGGAGGGCCTCAGCGTCGTGGGTTGTCTGCAAACCTCCGTCGATACAGCAAGGTTTGTGTTTCCGTGGCTCTTTGTGCTTTTCTAAGTGCTTTGAGATACATGAGCTTTCAAAAAATTGTTATTCCTGCATCATCCCTGCAGACACAGCACAGAAGGTGCAAGTGATCAGCCCAGGTTCACATAACTAAGGAGTGACGGGGGCAGGACTAGAACTGGGGCCACAGGAGGCTCTGGTCTTGGGAGATGCTTGACCCGGGCCAGGCTCTGTGACCACACACATCCCCCTGGCCTGTGCCCATCGGTTAGAGTGCACATTGTGGCGGCCGCAGCTCCAGCCCAGGGCCACTAAGAGAAGGCATTCTACCCGGTCCCCAGAAGACTCTTGGGGGGGAAAGTGGAACCTGAGGACAGCGTGCTCCCCACGAGGGCTGAGCATCGGCCGGGGCTGCTGGGCGGCTGCCAGCAGGGGAGCCACGTAATCTGCTGGTGCCAGACGGGCCCAGTGGGAAGATTAGACAACAGCGTTTACTTTGCCATTAGCGCGGCCTGGCGCTCGGCTCTGAGGGGCGCAGGGAGCCATCACTGAGGGAGGGCGGCCCTGCCCAGGGCACAGGTGTTCGGGAATGTTCCGTGAACACAGCAAAGCAGGCGATGGCTTGCGATCTAAAGAGCCCGATCGCGGCGGGCCGGGCCGGGCACTCGCACGCGATAGGTGTTATCAGGGGGCCCGGTCCGATAGGCTGCGGGGACGGCAGGTCCTCTAGGAATTTTCCATCAGGTCTCACCCCAGGCACGAAGTCTTCCACCAACACAGAAAACATGTTTCCACTCCCCAGCCCCAGACCTGCGCAGTTTCTCCAGAGATGGGCACAGGTTTTTAAAATTAAATTTATAATAACATTTTTGGCCCAAGTACAAAAAGAATGCATGTTCATTGTAGATTATTTACAAGTAAATAAAAATTAAAAAAACGACTCAACCCCACTGCCCAGAACTAACCACCATGAATTCTGTAAATGAATATATTTATTTACTTACAAAAATGGGGCCAGTTAGTAGAGTACACACTGTTCTTGCAAATTACTTTCTAAAGGAGAGTTAAGTGATCGTGTATTTTCAAGTGATTTCTTTTAAGTCTACATCATCATTTTTCAAGCTTTTCTTGAAATATAATTTGCACACAGAAAGATGCATGTCAGAGGGAATAGTGTGATGGATTTTCACAAGCTACCAGATCAAGAAACAGCATTACAAGGGCCCCCAAAGCTCCTTCAGGCTCCTTTCCAGCCACAAACCCACCCCCCAAATCAAGCATAATCATTGCTCTAACTTCAGACAGCAAAGACTGATTTGGCCCCTTTTGGTATTTTATATAAATGGCACCGCGTAACGAGCATGTTTCTGTGTCTAGTTTTTTTGCTCAAAATTACGTTTGTGGGGTGCACCGTGGTGGTGTGTGTAGTCGAAACTCGGTCGTTTTCATTGCAGTTTATCATCCCACTGCGCAAATGGACATTTTATTGATCTCTTCTCTGGCCGATGGACATTTGAGTGGTTTCCAGTGTGGGCTCTTGGAAACAGAGCTGCTCTGAACATTCTAGTCTGTGGAGTTCACACCGAGGGAACGTGTGCGTGTGTTTCTGTTGGGCGCGGGCCCAGGAATGGAGCTGCGGGGTCACAGGGCAGGCGGATGCTCGCAGTCAGCAGAAAGTGCTGAGTGGTTTTCCAGAGGGGCGGTGTCACTGTGTCCCTGCCCCAGCGGCAGGCGGGAGTTCCAGTGGCTCCACGTCCTGGTCGCTCTTGGTCTGTCAGTCATTTGCGTTTCAGCCATGCCAGTGGGATAGGAGCCACTCTCTCGTAGTTTTCATTTGCGTTTCCTGATGAATTAGCACACTGAGCACCTTTTCCTGGACGTGTTGGCTATTTGTATGTCTTCTTAGGAAGTACCTGCCCAAGTCTTTTGCTCATTTAAAAAACTCAGGCTGTCTTTTATTACAATTTGTAGAAGTTTGCATCAGTCATTTAACTTTTTAGGAGCAAAATATCTTTGCACAGACCTTACTTGCATATGATGCCATTATAGAAAAGAGAAGTTGAGTTGCTCAGGCAGTGGGGAGGACGAAGACGCCCCCCCAAAGACATTTCCGTGGAACCCCTGGGAATCAAAGGAATGCAATTTGAAAGACCTCCGACATAGATGCTCCTCAAACCCTTCCCTCCCATGTGTCTATTTTGTTTGCAGTTTTGGAGTTTGGGGTGCAGAGGTGAGAGCCCTACTGCTCCCCTCCCCAAGAAAATTTCTCCCCTCTGGCTGTCCCCATTCAAATGAATGCTAATAACTGCCTGCAGGTGTCAAGCATACACATGCCAAGTACCCATGTGGTCTCTCCTCGTGGGATAGAGACAGGACTATATGGCACCATTCTACAGATTTATAGCTGGTAAACTGAGGCTCAGAGAGGTCCAGCCACCTGCCTAGAGTGCAGAGAAGCGAGAGGTGTAGCTGGCCTCCTTGGCTCCTCTGCTTGGGGGCCGTTCTGCTGACTGAGCCTGTCCTGCAGGGCCTGAGAGAGATTCTTGGGAGAAACAGGGTGAACGTTTTCCTGAATGGAGGCCCATGAGCAGCTTTGGGGGCTGGCATGTTCCATTTCTCGGCCTGGGTGAGGTTACTTGTGTATGTTATGACAGTGTGTTAGACTGCATATTTATGCTTTAAGCATATTTTTACGTTTGTTGTGCTTCACTATCGAAAAAATAGAAGAGCTGCTGGTCCCTTCCTTCTGGCT